TCCTAAACTGATCACCACCTGTAATCCGAGTAGACAGTAGACACAGGATTACTAGTGTACACAAACTCCTACAAAATCAAAAGTTCTGAAGGCCAAAATGGTTACGGGAGGCCGGGAAAGCAGTATGACCAGAAGAAATCCCATTGGACTTCAGTGAAAACAGTCAATTCACTACTGCTGAAGGTGTGGAAGGAAGAAAAGAAACTTTCCAACTGGAAACAGAGTTCCCTTGTGAAACTTTGGAGGAAAGAATAATTATGCTTATGCTGTTATCCATCCCAAGCGGAATATTATCTATATCATCTTAGAGATATTTAAATATGTCAGAGATGCAAAACCAGACCTAGAACAACCTGAACTGAGGACAGAGAGGTTATGTGCTGACCAAATTGCAACACCACGAATCATCAAAGAACACAGACTAGAGAAGAGATCTGCTCTCTACTTCAGTTTCAACAGCATAGGAAAGGCCTTCAGTCGGCTGCAAAGTAATTTGGAAACCACCTCAGCATTCCAAAGTGTAGTGTCAAAAACTAGCACCAGTCACCATCAAAGGGAGAGATTTAACAGAGGTTACCTTCTTCACTTATCTGGCTAGGAAGCATGGTTTCAACTACAGGAAGAACGGACGAAGATTTTGAAGCCGGGCAGAATCGGAAAGGCAAGATACGCTTTCATCAATCTTAAAGCAGTTTGGAAATCTTCCGCACTCAGCATAAGGAAAAAGATTCGCATTTTCAACACCAATGTGAAGTCAGTCTGTTCTTCTATACGGGTCAGAAACTTGCAGTGTGTGTCAAAAAAAGGAATCGCCCGCCAAGCTCTCGAGTGGAATCCCAATGGGAAGCGACGAGTGGGTCGTCAGTTCGACGGTGATATGGAAGAGATCGTGTGAGGTGGAGATGAGAGAATTTGGGCAATCGTGGATCTGGCTGAAGAGGACGACAGAAAACAGAACAAAGTGGAGATATGTTGTTGAAGCCCTATTTTCCACTTGAAACTCAAGGGAATAACATTATTATAATTATTACTTATTTCAATTTATTTTATTATCTACATTTTCCTAGTAAGTGGTCGTTGACCCTCCTTCTGGAAACCATAGCAATTCAAATGAAAGCTTTTAGGGAGAATGAAAAGCAGGATAAGAGCGAAAAATGGTCACTAAAATGCTTACCATAAGTCATATCGGTGAATACATGCACAGAAACTTGTCTTACTTGAAAACTGATATTCCTCATTATAAATGGGATGTATTTTTGGACCATGTCAGAGAAAGATGACTTGTTCAGTGTGTTTTCATCTATTTTCTCGTAAATAAACGTCTGTTTTGTGATAAAATACCTGTTTTGATGATCAGTCAGTACAAGATCACTTGTGCATTGACATCCCGAGCAGCGTGGTAGTTTGATTTCACCCTTAAATTCATGCAAAGTACCCTTAATGCCGCCGGTACACTACAGGCTCATCTGACTGATTGCTCATTTTTCATTAAGTAGTTTCGTTTTGAACTGCTATAGACTAGAGTAACCCATTTTTCACTAAGTCTAAGGGGACTCAAAAGAGTTGGGGGTAATCCATGTCCACATTTAGCCGGAGGTTCAGAATGCATGAATCATGACCTCAAACGATTATCATATCATGTGCGTCGGTGGCACAGTGGTTAGGACTCTCGCCGACCATGCACATGGTCCGGGGTTCGACTCCCTGCCGGTGCACACCCGATATCTATGGTCGGCCTGCAAAATTTGGGCTACCGATATCCTTGCTGAAAATTCCATACCTGTACCTAAAAATACGGTGTGGAATCAAGCTGTAACCAAAATAAAATTTAAAAAAATAATTAAGACGTGTAATAACACTAACAAATGGTTTCACTGCAAACGATTGGCACATAAGATATGTGTAATAACCTGCAATTCCCTACGGGATAAACCTGAATTAAAAGGCGTTTCTATTTCCCCAGCTAAACACGTGGGTGAAAAACATCATGGATTTCTGCTGAGGCGTGATTGAAATATGAACCCACCAGAAAAAGGAAGTATGAGGATGAATAGCCGCAAAAGACCCTGAAAAGATGTGGACTATTTTTCTGTTTAGCACAGTCCACCACTGTTAACAACATAACCTATGATTGGTATATCTGAACACATGAATAGTGAACGAGGCCTCTAAAGGGATGGTTTCAACGCTCCTTATGAGAGCATTTCTTGGAGTACATAAATACGGTCTCTCGGACCAGCGCTCATCATAAAAATGCGAAAGGCTAGTGGCGGCACTACTATTAAGACTTCCGGTTGGTGTGATGCCAATTATGACTGGTTACTGACCTGTTAGGCTTGTTAATACAATCTGAAGACCTGTTGCATACCCCGAAAAGCTTTTATCTGAGTTTTCGATGGTAAGAATTATTTCAGTGTCATGAAAAGAAGCTTCTAACTCATCTATCATGCAAGATAAATATTTTCGGTGTTGTACATGTAATCACTATACTGCTTTATAACAGAGCGGACTCCGCAACTTGCCCAGTGTGGCGCGGCTTGGCAGCCTGTAGACGGCCGTAGGTCATTTGATCAGCTGATGTCTAGCGGCTTTATTTAATGAAAAAACTTCAAAAATAGGTGATTTTTAGTTGTTTTACACACTTTTACACCTATATTGCTGCTAAAAGTTGATGTAATAAGGTGTTTTTAGCATAAACGGGAAATGATGGTGTCCTTATCCGGCCGTAATTTACGGCCAATTTACAAATTGTTGAATTACGTACTTTTCCGTTCGGAAAATGTCGAATTACTTGAATAGACATATTATAACGACTTTTAGTGAATTTTTTTGCAGTTTAAAGGATTATACACGGACATGATGAGGTGGGATAGTTGGTTTTGTTGATTATTTGATTTACTTTGTTGTTTACTTTTGCCAATGCTGTCAAAGCTCCTTTACATGTATTTCACTAAAGTAAATCTACAGAAATACTAAGAAATTATATACGCATAGTATTTACTCATTTTATAGCACATACTTGATGTTTACAGGCAGATCCAATATCCATTTTTTCTTCTTGAAAAATATTGACTGATGTAATTGTGTACAATTAAACTGATTATTTCATCATTTTAAAGATGTTAAGTAGTTATTTATTGCATTTACAGTGGTAACAATGTCTACATCTTTAGAATTGTTTTGTTCTTTTTCAGATAATGTCTACTTTCGGGAACTTCATGGATTTGGGCGATAAAGAAAAAGATATCTGCCGTGTTTTTGATTATGTATCACATGTTTATTCATTAATAAATGTATTCCTCGTAATTCGTTTGTATATTCTAGTTGATAAAGCTGATTTCTAGCATTTGCGTAATTTGTGAGGTACGGAGTATATGACGTAATCTTAAAAATGCTAGGTAAAATTAGATATTTGGAGAGGCTTATTGATAAAAAGACTATGTCGTGCCGTAATGAAGTTACTGCGTCCACTTGTAGAAGAAAACATTGAGGTTATAAGCGCTTAGTTATATATCGTCTTAGTGGGAACCTATTAATTGACTTCGGATTCATAGTCAAACAAGGTTAAAAGTAAATCTACCTGAGATAGTGAGTTTGCGATTTCTACTTATCGTAATAAACCAAGATGGGAATAATGTACCTATACTGTTAGATTTAGAACTCAGTGCAACTACGGTTATCGTAATAATTAAAAACAGAATGCCTACTATTGAAATACAATTATACTTCATTAGAATACCTACGGTTCGCAGCTACAGAACACGGTACGTTGCCGTCTGTCCATGTAATCGCGTAAACAACAGTTTCCCAGACGCCGCATTTACTCCTAAAAGTTTGCCCTTAATTCCTAACTTAGCACGTGTTACTAACGTCACTGGAAGACAATCGCGTTACAACAGAAGGAACACAGATTCATTAAAAAAGTGTTTATTAAGCAAAAATTAGATTTGAGATGTACAGATAATTCACATGAGTAGTCCTCCGTCACTGTCAGTAGGTTTCATCTGCGTACCAGCACATATATGTTTCTCCATAAGCCTGAAAAGGTTTAAGAAAAGCATTATTAACTTAGGTGGTACATGTATGATTTGAATAAAAAAGTTTCTTCATAAGTATTTACAAGTAATCACTTCACAAACAATATATATAAGTAGCTAAATAGTTCTCACTAAACTCAAGGGACTTCACAATTTATCGTCGGTCGATATCTAGTAGGTCCATCGAAGCATCATGAAATAAAAAAATTATTTAACGACAAGTTATGCAGTAGTTTCCAAAGCTTGAACAAAGATTTTAACAAAAGTGACAACAGCTTTATGACAAATAATACGAGTTCTGACAGCATTAATAATAATAACGTTGATGTTCATAGTGACTATAAAAGCAATAACAGGTATTATTATCGCAACGAATTCATCATTAACTTAGATAAACAACTACTTATTATACAATCATTTCAATTAAATGCATCACTTAATCTTATGAAGCAGGTGTTTACTTACTTTCACTGCATTCTCGCAACACTGATGTGGTCAACCAGCTTATTCCAAATGAACTCAAGATTAATCCTGAAAGGGAATGGACACCCAGTTTATTTCAACTAAAAACATGTAGCCTACATGCATTACACTGCTTACTGAGACATTTGATACCTGCTTTCCGATCTTCGTGACAGGAAAACAGTAAATGTAGGTTTACCTACATATACTGTTTTGATCTTGATATGGGATGAATTCATTGAATTCAGCAAATAAATCCTCTGGTTTATCAAATCCATCATGAGCTGTAATAGTATGTGCTGTCAATTATGCACCCGACTTGATAAAACGCTCCTGGCAATTGCGAACTTAACCAAGCAGTTAAACAATGTTTGAAATTACCGCAGGTCGAATGACAAACTGGCCAATCACAAGCGAGCAAATCACTTGTTTATCTCACTCGCGGGCACTCAAAATTACGGCCGTCGACAGGCTGCCGCGCGGCTTTTGTTGTATTCGTCAATGGGTAATTACCTGGATTTTCGGTCCAGTTCTGTCCCTAAAGAAAGGGATAAACAGCCACCTCCATTGAATATTCCGTACAAACCATCTGGGGTTCTCAATGTTGATCCTCGTTCTCCTAGTGAGGGAATAGTTAGAACCCCAATTCAGATCGACAAGGGCGACCCACGTTCACCGTCCGCTGGAGTTGTTCGGACCCCTTTAGGATTTTCTACTAAATTAACCGGTAACAAAAATTTGTTAATCCCACTAACAGCAAGATGGTGACGCAAGTACTCTTTTCTTGGACAGCTTCGAAACTCTTGATGGAGTTTTGACCGAGGATGACTCTATTCACCGCGGTGACACGGAAGGTGACAAAGCATCATCATTGTCAGATACTGAAGTAACAAACAGTCTTAAAAACAGATGTGAGTCGGATTTTCATTTTGGGGCCAACAGTTGTACTATCTCAAGTAAGAACGAATTGAGTGTGATTTTGGGGAAATCAAAGTTTTCCAAAATCTGGGAATTCTTTCCCACCGTCCCCAAAATCGTTTAATAGTTTATATTACGTTTTAAGTATTTATTCCTGAACAAAATGTGTTTTGTGCTATACTTCCCACGTGATGCACGAAGTGGTCCATATTTTTTCAGTGACAATTATCACTATCTTCCTGACAACTTTCGACTGAGTTAAGAGGCGGTGGTCGGTGCTGAGGTCAGATAAGTCTGAAAACACCGCAGTTTTTTCTTACCTTAGGTTTTACATTATGCTTCTGTAGTTTAAATATGAACGTAATAGTTTCAAGATTTGTGGTTCAACACTAACTTGTTCAATATAACTCTAAGTAAATCAGTGTAAATTGTTTGTTGGTTAACCCAGCCTGTTTATTCGCAATAAGTGCACAAAAAGTTAGACAGTCAACGCAGTAATGATCTAAACGAAAATGTATTTTATAATTTTTAGTTTGGTGCAAAACATAAAGTTGACACTAACAGTACACAGCATACATTTCTATACATGGTATATTGATGTTTACTGATAAAGTGTTTCTGTTGTATCATAAGTTATTTCAGAAGAAAAGTAGCAGTAATGATAGCTAACCATACTGCCTTCAGTGCCCGTTACTCTTACTTCAAACTAACTCGTTACTTTCTCAGAACGGTTTCATACTACAACTAGTTGATGTAGATGTGCTGCCTCTAACTAATAGTAAATGTAAGCACTGATTTTTGCTTTAAAAATGGCATCTGAGCCCTCATTGTTACCTGTTTGGATTTTGTAGAAATGTATGCTTGTTTCTCTTAAAGTATGGCAACCTGTCACGATTAATATTTAGGAAAATGGTTAGTTAGCAACCGCGTAGTAGTCTATACAAGTACACAACATAACAATACCTTTTTACTAGCATTTTATTTCTCTTCATAAACTGCCACCTATATAAAGAAACTTAAGTGTAATTAAACATTCGGTTTGCATAACTTCAACCCCATTCTGTAGTCAGTATTCATTATATCCCCATAAATTCCACCAGAATGTGAATTGTACGTTGCAGTGTCAAGTATTTTTGACCGACCTCTAGTCAAACGGCAATGGATTGTATTCAGTTTAACTATACGCCCGTATGCTGAAATCATAAGCATCCTACCAGTCCCTTTCAGTTATTCACTATCGTCTCTTAATTTTCTTGATTACATTAGCAGCATTCCACTCTTTAGTTTCTCTATTATTGTACTTTTGTACGCTGTTTCAAGTTGGACCATGTTTGGAATTCTTAAAAAGTATGACTCATGAAAAGTGCCATAGTCAATTTTTTGTGAATGCGTTTTCGACCCTTTTATAATGACTCTTCCCGGTATCCAACAGTCATTAGATCAGATTGCCAGCGTATGCTTCCTTTTACAAAATTTCATTTCCACCATGGATAAAATTTTATCCATAATGGAGTTACACTCACACACACAGTGCCCAAGTTTCATCCTTATATCAAAATTACATTTCTGTTTATTTTATTTTCCGTGTCATTATTTCCTTTCCAAAGTGGAATTGAATAAGTTAGCTGCTTTGAAATCTTATTTTTGCTTATTTGCTTAATGTTGATATTATTGAGGAATTTAATTGGGACATACAATATTTTACACTTTCAAGCACACAAACGTGGATCAAATCATCAGGTCAGACTTTCTTGGTTAGAGAAACGTATCAAACGCAAATCTATGAATGATTCACCTGGTTTGTTGGTTAGATTTCGATGTAAACAAAACTATGAAAAACATAAAATGCAACAACAAGATTGCGGAGATAGTGTAGGTCATTCAACAGAAAGCCCAAAATAAAACATTGAAACTTATGACATACAAGAATCTCGTACTGTAAGACAGATTTGAACTCAAGCTTTCGTCTTTCTCAAAATTGCTTCTCTGGGAATCACCCCTTATGTAATGTACATAAAAAGACATTTTTTTGTCTATCACTTTTTTCGCAATGTATAATTTGTATCTTGTGCCTCTTTTTTCTGCTACATATCAATTAAACTATTATAATAGACTTAATGTAAACTTTAACCTATTTTCTTGATATGCTTTCTGCAAATAGAATGCTAATTTTTCTCGATTTCATTCTCATCTTACTGTGTTAATGTTTTCTCATGTCCAGATTTCCACAGGGGTGTCAGACGGTATTTCATAAGACAATACGTATTTTTTTCGTCATAATGGGCATAAGATTGGTCTCTTAATTGTAACTTGGTTATGTGAGGTCCACGTCCCCAAAACGCACTGCTTTAGTTTTGTGTACAGCACTTGATACTTAGCCACTTAATTATATTTGTAGGAGATTAAAATAATCGAGTCTTCAGTAACCTAGTATTTCTTGTTTGAGGTAATATGTGAGAAATCTGGGTTAAATGAGATGTTAGAAGTCATTCATTATGGACTTTGTGATATGGTTCACACTCGACTACAGAACGCAGATGTGTTCATTTTTTACATGGAAGTTTGAATAACTATTGCTTGCGTACGGTGTGCTGCACCGGTCAGCGTAATATAATTCGGAACATTATGTCACGTCTGTATTTGTACCACTACTCATTTCATTTTGAAACTGACAAACGGATGTTTGTCAAAATAAGTTCGTATTTATGGCGTTTGTAAGATAATAACAGGCACAAATGTAGGACAGTTCAACCTATCTTTCCTACAGTTCATACCTTTTATTTTCATCCTCGGAATAAAATCATGCCAAGTGATTATTCCTAATGTATTGTCGACTGTGTTTTATAAACTGAAGTAATTATGAAGTCTGAAAATGGTGTATTGCAGCCAGCTGATGTCAAACTTCATTCTGGCCTAATACTTTGTAATCTGTGTACTTGTAACAGTCCCATCATTGTAATTATTTGCCTTAAGTTATTCTCCATGCAGAGCGACTACCTTAGTGTATTGCGCGAATAGCTGAAGTTCAGGTTGATTATTTTTGTATTTCCTTTCTGGACTAACTGTCTTCAATCCAATGCCTAGATCACAGAGTTGTGATTTTCACAATGTTGGTGTAGGATACAGTAAATGGCATCAGAACATACATACTAGTTAGCATACTATTGGTCTGTCTGTATATTTTTCTCAGTCCTCGGTAAATATTTCTTTTGAATGCAAAACCTTAGGAAGTTCACATTGCAAGTATTCAATGCACTCCCAAAGCGGTAGGGTAACTGAGTGAGCAATGCCGAGTAAAGCTTTTAGGCAAAGGCGAGTAGTCGGATGAAGTAGTAAATTTATATTGAATAAAGTTGTTAAGAAATCGGTCTTATGTATCAAACGAATGGTTACTTTTCCTCCTTATTTTTTGAATCGAGAGTGAGTTAATAAAGGACCCAAGTAAATGAGACGAAAACATGGTCTCAAGAGGCAAACCCATGACTTTTTTTGTTAGGTCACATTGCAGAATGTAATCTTCGACATGTGGTGTAAGTCAAGAATTGACGATTAGGGATTTTAACTAAAACTCATTTTAGATGATAACGATGCAGTTGAATTCTCATTTTATCTTCCATTAGATCTTTCGCTTCTTATCATTGTGCCTATGTATAAGCTATTTGCCATTGTACTCTGCGTAGCCGTATTTACTCTTTTATGTTGTCAAAGGGATTCTATTTTAATATATGTGTAAAGCTTGGGCACTGTGGTAGTGTGTATTTCCATATTAATTTGTTTATTAGATATATCACACAGTGAAACAGTGGTATTTACTGGATAACGTTCCGAACACAATTTATTATTCATAATAATATCAATTATAACCACACAACTTCGAAACTTTCGTTTCGTAGTTTTCTTTATTCTCTCCTATTTGTGGTAGGGATAGTAGAATTTTCAAGGTGTTGGATCATTCCTATTACACGTATTTGCAGTTGATTCGATAAATAAAGCTTCCGCTATCAATCGCTCCATCCATCCTATTACATTGGATTTTAAAACTGTCATCTTATCCCATCTTATTGCATGGCTGTGTCTAATTGCATGTAGTGCTATAGCTGAACTACTCTCCAGATTTCTTATCTTATTAGGGCCAACTAGTCTAGATTTTGCTAGGTTTTTATACTCCGCTAGTCTGACTGACCTCGATGTACTACTTTGACCTATGTATTTGTATTTGACCCCCGACTGATAGCTGCTACCTTGACATGGTTGTCGAGCTTGTATATCGCAATGACCGAACAAGCTACGCTGGCTAGAACTAATGTTCCTCCGGGTCCCACCATTCCAGGAAGATTGTTAGGATAGCGATTGGACTAAAAGCAGTTATCGGCATAGTGTAAGAATTTTTTACATTATGCTGGGGGCCTTTGAGCGAAATCGTACTGCTGGGGAACATGGGTGTAACAGCAGTAAAGTGTTTCCCTCAAGCGACCAGCATGCCAGCTATGTTGTCTCTCCACTCTGTAGAGAGGGGGTTAAAAAAGGTCAACCCCAAAAATTGTACACACATCAGCTTACCCTACTGTGGTTCGCAACCGGCGGTAGGTTTACTAATACGGAACCAACCCAAGAAACCAGTGCGTGACCGGCCTCAAGCATTTGTCCCTGGGCTCTGCGGTCACGCAATATTACCCCTCTTTCTGTTTCAGGCACCCGAAGGATCAATCAACTTCCACGGTGTGGGCAGCGGGGAAGTAACAACTGCACACACACTTTCAAAAGCACACGAGGCCCTCCTGAGCATCATTCTGCTTTATCAACATCACCCTCATCATCTTGCTTCCCTACTACAGTCAGTACTATTCTGCAGACTAGTGAATCATCTTCACTTCACTGTGTGTGCCTACAAACAACAATGAGAGCCATCGAAACACCCTCGACAGCCTCTTAAAGCCACGTCACCAACTTCACATAGGAGCATTCAACGTCACGACCCTCTGCCGAATCGGACACCAGGCAACACTAGCAAGAACTCTGGCATCTCCAGCCATGGATGTGTGTTGTGTCTCGAAGACACACATACAAGAACCGAGTGGGTTAATTCACTTAACCCCACCTGGCCAACTAGGTGAATCTGCGAAATTCACTTTAAAGATGTTAGAAGACTCCTCAGCTAGTTCGCGAGGACTCGCAAAGGTCGGGATATTGAGTGTTAGGACAGAAAAATCACTTCTTGCCTGGATCCCAATTGATGGTCGTATGTGTGCGGTCTGTCTGAAACGGGTCCGTTAGAGGAAGGAAGGATGGCGTTACTCGTAGTTGTCTTTTCATAGTCGCCGCTTATGCCCTAACAGACTGCAGTCCGGCTGAACCAAAGGGTGATTTTTACCAGGAACTGTCTAGTTTGCTGCAAAAAGCAAAGTGTTCAGATATAGTTGTTTTAGCAGGCGACTTCAGTACCCAAGTACGGGAGTTACGACAGACTGAGTACCTACTTAGTTCTCTTCCGAAAAAACCGACAACGGTGCTCGTCTTCTATAGTTCTAATATTTAATTATGCCCATTATTAATATTAGAACAAGATATATAAGCGAACAATATTGTTTCTAATTAGATCTTCTTCAGGCTCTGCTCTAATTTACATAGATTTATATATAAAAATTTTAACCAATGACGGTGATCGTGTGGATCAAATAATAATAATGTGGTAAGTGTTTTGAGCGTCATTAATAACGATGTTTATAATGATAACAAAAATAATGATAATAAGGTTCATGCATGTGGCAATAAGAATAACGATGTTAGTAATATGTGTATATTTAGACAATTCAATAAATAAATTAGGTCAAATCTTAAAGTTACGTAATACTAAGGGTCAAGTGGACAAATAATCAGAGTTTAAATAAAAATCATAAAAGTACAAAGGAAATGGAAAATAAGAAAGGGTGGGAGGATTTTGATTAGAATTTACGTAGGCCAAGGGAGAGATAAAGGTAGGACAAACTTCTTTTGTATGTAAAGATTAGGATTGTTCTCTCAAATTCCCACAACTTCGGCTATGTGTAAAAGGCGGGTTCAAATTGCGTTCGAGAGGTTCGATGGAATGTGACAGATAACTTTGAAGGCACTACTTCTGTCCACTTGGTGACCGCTGTCAATCAAATGAGTCAAAATAGGACTTATTATAGATTTTATTCGGCCTATTCCGAACCATGAAGGAAGATGGTCATTAATACGTTCGTCAAGCTATCTAGTTGTTTGCCCCATATAGCTCTCTCCACAGGATCAACTAAATTTGTAGATACACATAGAAGTGCCACAGCTAGGTAGCTTCCACTTGAGCAATCACAAGTGGTCGGCTGGAAAATGGCAAACAAAAGGTGGTGGCAATATAAGTCCGTTTTATTGCTCTTGATAATCTTAGATGTAAGACTTCACTAGCCATGTCCCCATTAAATTGCAATTTTAGGAACAGTTGTTTCCTTTTAACTGTTGTCAGTTTCTCTTTATTATACCTGGTGTTCATGTGTCTCCTTACAAATCTACTAGGATAACCCATTTGGACCAGTGTATTTTGGATGTATCCTAACTCATTTTCCAGGGAGTCATCTGTACAGATCCGTCCTGCTCTATTCGTGAGGCATATGACCAACTTGATTTTCTGTCGGATTGGTACAAAACCGAGGAAATGTGTATACTGTCCTACAGATGTAGGTTTTCTATAGACGTCTCTTTTGAGTGAACCATCCTCTCTTCTGCTCAATTGGACATCAAGGAAGTGTAGTCTACCATAATTTTCTTCTTCACAAGTGAAGATGAGCTATGGGTGTGCATCATTAAATTTTATTAACATTTCATTTTTGTCAGCTTTCTCATCAAGAACAATAAACGTATCATCGACTTAACGAAAATAAGAATCT